CAGAGTCACAGCAGAAAGTGAGAACAAGTTTAATGTAACAGATAAGAAATACAGGTTCAACAGGGAGAGTGTAGCATAGCTCCAGAGACTGAGCAGGGCCCACACCAAGTCTAATAGAAAAGTAAGTTTGGTACAAACATCAAGTCTAACACAAAATCCAGAAAAACATACTTAAAGTTCAGTACAAAGTGCAGGCTGGCTCTACAGAGTGAGCAGCTGCCTTCTGAAAGTAAGTTCAATACGAAGTAAGGTATGCACACCCCAGCCAGTGTTGCCTCCGGGAAAGTGAGCAACAACTCTGCCTTTGGCTGGGATTCGGCTTTTATAGTTTCTCTAATGAATATTCTATTAAGGGGTGGCTCCCAGTTATGTAACATTTAGTCTTGCACATGCTCAGTTGATCTCTTCCTGGAGGATGTTCACTGGTCAGACCATATCAGGTGCACCAGGCATAGTCACCAATATTCTGTGCTCTCTATTGAGCATGCTCTGCCACTGGATTCCACAAGCCAGCCCATTGTGGTCTCATTTTCCTCCATGTTGGTGCTAAAAATAGGTCTCACAGGCAACAGTGACTTTCCTCCAGGGGAGAGCTCAGAGGAGGGGGCCTCAGACCTCAGGGAGTGGCTGGAAACCCAGAGGCAAGTCCTGAAACCTCAATCCAGGGAAACTGAGCACCTCCTATATCAAAATGAACAAAATTATGTTTCTTTTCTTTTGTCATGTACTTGTAAAGAATAGGTCATTACATTCCTATCCAGGATCTATCTCAAAGACAGTGTAACTTCAAAAATCTAAGAAATTGATATAGCTTATTACAAAAACGGGCCTTCTCTGCCTCCTTTCCCCTGTCCATGGTTTTAAGACATTAGAAAAAAAGCAACCTGACAGAATAATTTTAAAATCTTGTCTGTTCAACATAGTGACATATTAAGCATGAGTTTCCACCAGCAGTAAGTCTATGTTCTTGTACCTTTCCAGCGTCCTGTTCCTCTCTCTCTTTTATTGATTAATAAAACTAAAGAGGGAAAATTTTTTCTTGTCAGATGGATCTCAATAAAACCGAGGATGTGATACAGAAATTAGAAAGCCTCCACCAGCAGCCTCATGTGTGGCATTTTCTACTTTTACTCCCGAGACTACGTACAAACAACATTCACTGGGAAGATGGCATGCCTGTTGTAGTCCACTTTCTCCATGCAATTTTGAAGTAAGTGACAAAGAAAAATACAACTGAGTATAGTTGTTTTGCTTTTTTCCTCCTCATTCTTTTAATGGCAAACAAAAATCACCAAATAATTGTTTGATTTTAAAAAAAACCCACAGTACTGTTACCCTGAAATGACCAGCATCATGTGCCTCATTTCCATCC